ATTTAGGTTATTTGTTGACATACGTTGCATGCCACTTTTCGCGCGCGAAGCGCGCGCCGAAGGATACGAAACATGTATCAAGTTATTTGGTGGTCACTTTGATATGATTACTTGGTTGTTAATACATAATAACAATGAACTCAAGACAATGAAAACGGACAAAATCAAGAAAGTGCAAATAATATCAAATCCACGCAGAAATACAATAATTAACTGAAATAATAATATCATATATATATAATATATATATACTATATACCATCGTGAGAAGATCAAACTATAAACTACAATTCCCTCTATGCTCTAACAATTACACAACATTAAAACGACCACTATTATCAATTGAAGATAAAGTCCATCATCCCAGATCCTAGTCCGAAGCAAAGCACACCATTTGCTTCCAGCCAGCCAATAAACAAATCGGTCTTGTTTAAATTTAAAGAACATCATTTTACAATTGATCACGAATAATTATTAAAACTGATTATTAATAGGTAGGTCATCGGTATCATCATTTATTTGTATCGAATTAAGTGAAATTCGCGCGCAATATTATTTCATTTCATTTTATTAAAAAACTGCACATGTTCATTGTTCAACAAATAAATTTTCTCTTTTGAATATCCAGTCAGTAGTCACTAAGTTTCTATATCTGACAACTTAACATGTCCGCCATCCTGCACGTTTTTACCACCTGCTCTACTGGAGCGGCGTCTCACACAAACTACGCAGCCAACAGTCAGCACAATCAGCACAACAATGAAGAGCGAGGCACCCACTACTGCTGCAATGATGTAATAGATCGTCTTATCTGGGTCTCCTTCCTTGATGGTTATGGTGAAAGGAACTGTTGTGTAGATCTCAGTGATAGGGTCCCTAACTCCACATCTCCAGTTTTCTGTCTCGCTCCGAACATTAATTGATGATGTTGTAGTTTTTGAAAGGATCAAGGTTACTCTGTAAGTTCCTGAACCTTCTTTATCTATCACCATCCTGTCACCTTTTGTGGTGATGTTCTGAGATGTATAGTAGACTTCCAAATCATCAAGAACTTCGATAAGATACAAATTTTCTTCGTTTTCAGGAGAAAACGTATCAAATGTGACTTTGCAGGTAGCAGACACTTCTTTGCCTGCCACCCCGGTGACGTTACTAGCCTTAAGAGAGACCTGGTAGAAAGTGTGGGATTTGTCCTCCACCTGACAGGTAACCTGAGTGTACGAAGCGGAGGAGTTCAGACTGTAGACTGCAGTGAATAAACTACTGTTAGCAGTGTCCCGTGTAGCCAGGGAGGTGATGTCCTGGTTATCCTGGTCAGTCCAAGTGATCTTAGGGGGTGTTGGAGACCGGGTACTACTACAAATCAAGGGAGCATTCTCCGTGAAATACCTTCTGTTGGCTGTCAAAGTCAGTTCAATAACTGTGTCCTCCATACAGAGACTGTATGGAGTTGGTGCTATCTGTCCTTTGTCATCTATTGTGTTTGTGCAAGCGATGTTGGAGCTTTTCCAGTAGACTGGGAATTTGTATAAGACAAAGTCATCACAGTAGAATTCTTCAGCCAAGAAACTGTCAGGTGCTACTGTACAATCTGTCGGTGATGCAGCATCGCTGTAAACGATATGATACATGTTACTCTGTCTGTTGCCACTAGGAATGTCACTTGAAACTAGAGCTATCTGATAATACCCGTTACAGTGACCTCTAGCTGGACAAGATGTTTTATCTGAATATTCTTTTATCTGCACGTGGGGACCTTGACCAAATCTGTACCATGTTTCATCTTCCAGATCAAAATCACAGTCTCCGCAAGTGAGAGGTTGCACTGAGGGCACCAGTGGAGAGAAGTCACAGGTGTCGCCTGTATTTAGCGTGCGGTCCCAGGCAGTGCTACTGTTTAGTCCTTTATACTCCGTACTTTTACCGTAGCTGCTGTAAGTAGACGGGTCCGAACAGTCTGGATAAGGTGTAGATGATACGCAGCTGATCAAGATTACGATTACCCCAAATTTTACTGTCATTTCTGAACGGTACTTGAAGAAAATCTGCGTCACAGCTCGGGCTTGTTCATTTTATGATTGCTGAAATTTGCATAGTTATCATATCGAATGAACTTTGAGCAGAGCTAAAAACCTAACAACGCACCAAAGGCTACATTAGGAGGTGCACTACCTAGCTACATGTAGCGCCCAACCTAATCTTAATACGATTGAAATATAAGTTTATTATTTCAATATTTGAGGTATTTTATTTCTAAGGTTCGATATAATTGTTTGATATAATTATAATTTTTGATTGACAAATTAAATTCTCCAAAAAAAAACGAAGTGAAAATTTTAAAAATCGGAGACAATCGAAAAATACTGCACTAAAGTAATGCAAAACGACAAGTAGTATATATATACGACAAGTAGTGTTTGGAAACTTGACACGCTCGATTATGATATTACACAAAGCTTCCTGATTACCGGCCTGTTTTTAAAGCAAAAGAGTTGACCGAAAGTTGGAAATAACCTAAGAATATAAGATATCGCGGGTTTCATATTACGTTTTAGAACTTTGCGGAGCGAATATTACAATTGCAACAACGGTTTCAATAGAAATTTCGCAGCTTTCGTCAAAACATCATGATCAACATGGTGATTATTTTACAGCCATGAGGATTAAAGAATCGCCAAAATTTGATTGATTATATCAATTATTAGTCACCTTTGTGACAATGAGTTGAGTAAAATAACAGAAATACAGTAAATTTGACACACAAATTTTGATTTCTAAAAATGGAAATTAAGAAAAACATAAATTTTAAGGTTCCGGTAGGCCATGAAAAACTGAATTGAGTAGCTGCAGAGGGTTAAAATGACTGCTCCTGACTCCTGGTGATGATTTTTTAAGGAAATATTACACTTACACTATGACTATGAGTGTTATCATTAAAAAAATAATGTATCCAATATGAAAGGGTTAAAAAAACTTTATATGCTAGAAATTAGGAGAGTACGATAGGGTTTCAACTGAAAAGGGTTTCAACTGAAAAGGGTTTCAACTGAAAAGGGTTTCAACTGAAAAGGGTTTCAACTGAAAATAAATAATACATCTGCTCCCTTACAGAACTACCTTTCTGATTAAACTCAGTAATAACGGTGCTGTGAAATAGATAAGATAAGAGATTAACTTTACAGATTTCGAATCATCAAAAACTGTCTAAATAATTAAAAGTCAACAAACTTTCAAAATAAATACCATCAGAGTACTGCGTCTGTGATGCATTTGTCGTCAACACGAAACTTAAAGCTTTAAAGATAAATTTACTGAATATTATTTTCGTTTACTTCAATAACTTTTATAGATGAAAATCATTTTTTTTTTCGGTCGAAAAAATGTAATGTTTCGTACGCATACAAAATAACAAAGTTAACCAAGGTACGATTTCTAGTCCGCACACTGACTGGGATTCTGCAATCATGGCGATCTTCCGTGAACCTTGATGACATTTAGTCGCTTAATCAGATAAATACAAACCAATACTAATACCACAGCACCACCACCAATCAAGTAGAAAATCAATTGTGAAGGAGGTTTCTTCTCTTCCAATTCCATACAAAGACTGTATGGAGTTGGTGCTATCTGTCCTTTGTCATCTTTTGTGTTTGTGCAAGCTGTGTTGGAGCTTTTCCAGCCGACTGGGAATTTGTATAAGACAAAGTCATCACAGTAGAATTCTTCAGCCATAAAACTGTCCGGTGCTGCTGTACAATTTGTCTGTGATGCAGCATCGCTGTAAACGATATGATACATGTTACTCTGTCTGTTGCCACTAGGAATGTCACTTGAAACTAGAGCTATCTGATAATACCCGTTACAGTGACCTCTAACTGGACAAGATGTTCTATCTGAATATTCTTTTATCTGCACGTGGGGACCTTGATCAAATCTGTACCATGTTTCATCTTCCAGATCAAAATCACAGTCTCCGCAAGTGAGAGGTTGCACTGAGGGCACCAGTGGAGAGAAGTCACAGGTGTCGCCTGTATTTAGCGTGCGGTCCCAGGCAGTGCTACTGTTTAGTCCTTTATACTCCGTACTTTTACCGTAGCTGCTGTAAGTAGACGGGTCCGAACAGTCCGGATAAGATGATACTGACTGCCGGATCAAAAGGAACAATATTCCGTGATAGATCGCTTTCTCCATCTTCACTGGCTAACGTGATATCCACCTGACTACTACTGCTAGCATCCTCCTGACGCAATGTTTAATAAGGAAATAACGAGAGATTACCTCACAACAACACTACTACTACTATGTAGTATAGTGTGGAACAAATCAACAAAGTAGTGTTAAAAACTATTTTCCTCTGTCCTTTTTACGATTGTTGAATAACTTAAAATAAAACACAAACAAACGTTTTTTCGTCACGAACTTGAAAATTTAAAAATCGAAATTGCGATTCAACACAATATATGCGTGTGTAACAAATGAAAGTTCTTTATCTCGATCAGTTAGCCACTTTGTGCTATTATGTGCTATATTGTGACCATGAAACTTGAACCCTTTGTAATGATCGTTATTTCTAAGAGATATACATATATTCGAGCGTGCTAAATCACTCAACAAGTCAACATATGCTTTTGTTAAGGATTGGGTTAGGGTTAGGATTATGATCAGATAAGAGGGTTAGGATTTCGAATAGGCATTCAGGGCCAGCTAGAGAACGGGTTGAAAAAGTTACATGACAGTCGAGTGTAGAGTGATTAATCATCATCCATATATATTATATAAGTTACGGGGTACAATCATCACTTTATAACTAGACACATCACGCTAGTTATGTTTAACAAAACAGCTGTGGGAGAATCACGAAGTTAGCAGATGACCATTTTAGCAAGTTCTGTCGTACCTACCTATGTCACCTATGTTTCTGTTGTACCTACCTATGTCACCTATGTTTCTGTTGTACGTACCTATGTCACCTATGTTTCTGTCGTACCTACCTATGTCACCTATGTTTCTGTTGTACCTATGTTTCTGTTGTACCTACCTATGTCACCTATGTTTCTGTTGTACCTACCTATGTCACCTATGTTTCTGTTGTACCTACCTATGTCACCTCTGTTTCTGTTGTACCTACCTATGTCACCTATGTTTCTGCTGTACCTACCTATGTCACCTATGTTTCTGCTGTACCTACCTATGTCACCTATGTTTCTGTTGTACCTACCTATGTCACCTATGTTTCTGTTGTACCTACCTATGTCACCTATGTTTCTGTTGTACCTACCTATGTCACCTATGTTTCTGTTGTACCTACCTATGTCACCTATGTTTCTGTTGTACCTACCTATGTCACCTATGTTTCTGTTGTACCTACCTATGTCACCTATGTTTCTGTTGTACCTACCTATGTTATCTATGTTTCTGTTGTACCTACCTATGTCACCTATGTTTCTGTTGTACCTACCTAAGTTATCTATGTTTCTGTTGTACCTACCTATGTCACCTATGTTTCTGTTGTACGTACCTATGTTATCTATGTTTCTGTTGTACGTACCTATGTCACCTATGTTTCTGTTGTACGTACCTATGTTATCTATGTTTCTGTTGTACGTACCTATGTTATCTATGTTTCTGTTGTACCTACCTATGTCACCTATGTTTCTGTTGTACCTACCTATGTTATCTATGTTTCTGTTGTACCTACCTATGTCACCTATGTTTCTGTTGTACCTACCTAAGTTATCTATGTTTCTGTTGTACCTACCTATGTCACCTATGTTTCTGTTGTACCTACCTATGTCACATATGTTTCTGTTGTACTGCTACCTATGTCACCTATGTTTCTGTTGTACCTACCTATGTTTCTGTTGTACCTACCTATGTCACCTATGTTTCTGTTGTACCTACCTATGAGTATAGCTGAAAGCACAGTGTAAGGCCTACACGGACCGCCTCTAACTAGCCAATCCCTGTTTACATGCCGTGTAGCAGGGGACTAGAAAGAGCTAAACTAGTAAGCGGGGCATAGCCAATACACTATACTTCCATCATTGAGTATATTACCAACCAACAGGAAAATTTCCTTGTGTTTGGAATCTACCAAGACGAAAGTTGTACAATCCAGCGAAATTCCGAAGAATGTTATCTATGTTTCTGTTGTACCTACCTATGTTATCTATGTTTCTGTTGTACCTACCTATGTCACCTATGTTTCTGCTGTACCTACCTATGTCACCTATGTTTCTGTTGTACCTACCTATGTCACCTATGTTTCTGTTGTACGTACCTATGTTATCTATGTTTCTGTTGTACGTACCTATGTCACCTATGTTTCTGTTGTACCTACCTATGTTATCTAACGTTCTGTTGTACCTACCTATGTCACCTATGTTTCTGTTGTACCTACCTATGTTATCTATGTTTCTGTTGTACCTACCTATGTCACCTATGTTTCTGTTGTACCTACCTATGTCACCTATGTTTCTGTTGTACCTACCTATGTCACATATGTTTCTGTTGTACCTACCTATGTCACCTATGTTTCTGTTGTACCTACCTATGTCACCTATGTTTCTGTTGTACCTACCTATGTCACCTATGTTTCTGTTGTACCTACCTATGTCACCTATGTTTCTGTTGTACCTACCTATGTCACCTATGTTTCTGTTGTACCTACCTATGTTATCTATGTTTTTGTTGTACCTACCTATGTCACCTATGTTTCTGTTGTACGTACCTATGTTATCTATGTTTCTGTTGTACCTACCTATGTTATCTATGTTTCTGTTGTACCTACCTATGTCACCTATGTTTCTGTTGTACCTACCTATGAGTATTGCTGAAAGCACAGTGTAAGGCCTACACGGACCACCTCTAACTAGCCAATCCCTGTTTACATGCCGTGTAGCAGGGGACTAGAAAGAGCTAAACTAGTAACTATGTTATCTATGTTTCTGTTGTACCTACCTATGTCACCTATGTTTCTGTTGTACCTACCTATGTCACATATGTTTCTGTTGTACCTACCTATGTCACCTATGTTTCTGTTGTACCTACCTATGTCACCTATGTTTCTGTTGTACCTACCTATGTCACCTATGTTTCTGTTGTAACTACCTATGTCACCTATGTTTCTGCTGTACCTACCTATGTCACCTATGTTTCTGTTGTATGATTACTCAGACCCCTCATCCCAAACTGGTAATGGTGTTTCATATCTTTGGGTAGTGAAGGATTGAGGGAAGTGTTACATCTATTTCGGAAATTGTGCATATCATCAGGACAATTTTAAGGAATTCTAAAATGTCAAGAGGGTCAGAACTCCTTTTTTAATACTGTACCTATTATCTTCAACATTTTATGTATAATTATCCTCCCGGTCACCCGGGAGTCCTCAGAGGAGCGAGCAGCTGTAGTATTCAGTAGAGAGCATCTTGTTGATTGAGCAGCTGTAGTATTAGGCAAGGAGCATTTTGTTGATTGAGCAGCTGTAGTATTCAGTAAGGAGCATCTTGTTGATTGAGCAGCTGTAGTATTAGGTAAGGAGCATCTTGTTGATTGAGCAGCTGTAGTATTCAGTAGGGAGTATTTTGTTGATTGAGCAGCTGTAGTATTCAGTAGGGAGTATTTTGTTGATTGAGTAGCTGTAGTATTCAGTAAGGAGCATTTTGTCGATTGAGCAGCTGTAGTATTCAGTAGGGAGCATCTTGTTGATTGAGCAGCTGTAGTATTAGGTAAGGAGCATCTTGTTGATTGAGCAGCTGTAGTATTCAGTAGGGAGTATTTTGTTGATTGAGCAGCTGTAGTATTCAGTAGGGAGTATTTTGTTGATTGAGTAGCTGTAGTATTCAGTAAGGAGCATTTTGTCGATTGAGCAGCTGTAGTATTCAGTAGGGAGTATTTTGTTGATTGAGCAGCTGTAGTATTCAGTAAGGAGCATCTTGTTGATTGAGCAGACTGCTCACCTGAAGAGTCCTGACAGCTGGGCCCCAGCTGAGCTGGGGTTTAGGGCACTAAGTGTGACGATAGTACAGTAGCATGACCCCCACTCACAGCCCACTGTGCAAGGTAGGACTACTGTAGAACACGGTCCGGTGTACAGTAGCATGACCCCCACTCACAGCCCACTGTGCAAGGTAGGACTACTGTAGAACACGGTCCGGTGTAGCATGACCCCCACTCACAGCCCACTGTGCAAGGTAGGACTACTGTAGAACACGGTCCGGTGTAGGATCTAATTAAGTTTAGATCCGTTTGTCAGTGCTATTTAGTGAGGGTCGTGTCCGGCTAGGTGGCCTGGCAGCTGTTCTTTTTCTCAGTGCTATCTTTGTAGTGTCGCTCTCCTATCTTTAGTCTCTCTCTGTATTAGATTTTGATAACTGCTTTAACTTTTCGTTTCCATGGCTGTTAAAGGAGAAAAATATCGAGATAATCATTGTACTGAGGCTATGTACATATTAAGATATTATAACTGAATTTTCCAATATTGGTTGCAGTTGTTTTTTAATCCGCTTGATCCAGTCTTTTTCTATCACATTTGTTAATCAACATTAAATCACACAATGATTTCAACAGTTTTCTCTTTCAAATATTTGTACCCAGCTCAGATGACAGGAAGAAATGGACGATAAGGCGAAGTTAAAGATAACTCGTTCGCAGCTTCTGGACGATGCGAGAAAGCTCTCGAGAGTACAGATGGTTTCAGACAGGATATACAGGAACCACTTGAAGACAAGGTTCGACAACCTGCAAGAGCAACAGAAACTTACCAACACAATAGACGAGCTTGAGAAGCAAGAGAAGGACTCCTGGCGCGAGCTCAACCACAGGATGCTTGGTTTGGAACGAAGAGCCAGCAAATTAGCCAAGAAGAAAGCAATCACTAGTGTGGCTGCTAGTCCTCTAGTAACTCTACGTACTGCAGGCAGATCCAGACCAGCCAGGTTCGATAATCAAGACTCTTTACCTGCTCCCAGGAATAGGGGTCGCAGAGAGGGAAGAGCCCAACTTGCGGCCCCCAAGATATGGGGTCAGGAGCGACGCCCTTCCTTCTCCTCTCTACTTAACCCGTATATGACAGACCCTTCCGAGTACGGGACTAAGCTCGGTTACGCTCAACATCTCACTACAAAAGGGAACAGGAAATACAGCAGCCTGAACTCTCCTCTGGAGTTGGAGGACCTTCAGCAATACAACTACAATCAGCCGCAGTTTAGTAAGAGCCAGGCAGTCATCTTTAGGGGTCTCAAGCAGAGTGCTCAGGGACTGATAAAGATGGGGGTGATACAGCCCGATCCAAGGAACAATAGGAGAGTCGGTGGACACCACATTCCCGCTACCCTTGAGGAAGATAAAGCGAGGTACATAAGGACACCTGGTAAACAGGAACATGATATCTTTGAGGAGGAGCTGCCTTGGTTACCTAAAGTAACATATCAAGATAGTTACCATGGAAATAGTTACCATGGAGAAAGGAGGAGAAGTTCCCTCAAATCAGCCCCTGATACTAATCTTCTGAGAGTTGGCGGTGCTAACAGAAATGCTTATAGACGAGGTTCCCGAAGTCTGGGAGAACTGGAAATGAGAAAATACCTACCGTATGCTGGAAGATGTCCTAGCCCTGTTTCCGGCCTTGACAACGACTTCTCCGACAAACTGTCTCTCTTCCACCAACGGATGGATCAGCTGCAACACAGGGACAGTTTAGAGAAACTACCTGAAGCATTGACTGACGAACATACGGCTCCTCCCCCTCGAGACCCATTGGATATTGGAAAACAAGTGGGCACATTACACCCTGACTCAGAAGAAGGGCCGGTTATCTTGGCTGGTAGAGATGTGCGGATGAGTGAGGTAGACAGGTTTGAAATGAGTAAGTGGAGGAGAAACATGGCAGAGCAAGACACTCTCCCCGTAATAAAGGCATGTAAATACATCAGGAACCCGAGCAGAGAGCGGTATGATCCCCAGAGTAACCAGTATTACGTTATAGAGGGAGAGGAGGAGGTGGAGGTGGATGAACCGGCGCCTTTGCCAAGTATACCTGGTACTCGATTGTATACTGTGGTTAAAGAAGCTGTAAAATATAGCAGAGAGTTCAAGGAGATGTAGCTACAAGTCTCTACAGGGAGCTGTCAGATATAGCAGAGAGTTCGGGGAGATGTAGCTACAAGTCTCTACAGTGAGCTGTCAGATATAGCAGAGAGTTCAGGGAGATGTAGCTACAAGTCTCTACAGGGAGCTGTCAGATATAGCAGAGAGTTCAGGGAGATGTAGCTACAAGTCTCTACAGGGAGCTGTCAGATATAGCAGAGAGTTCGGGGAGATGTAGCTACAAGTCTCTACAGTGAGCTGTCAGATATAGCAGAGAGTTCAGGGAGATGTAGCTACAAGTCTATACAGGGAGCTGTCAGATATAGCAGAGAGTTCAGGGAGATGTAGCTACAAGTCTCTACAGGGAGCTGTCAGATACAGCAGAGAGTTCAGGGAGATGTAGCTACAAGTCTCTACAGGGAGCTGTCAGATATAGCAGAGAGTTCAGGGAGATGTAGCTACAAGTCTCTACAGGGAGCTGTCAGATATAGCAGAGAGTTCAGGGAGATATAGCTACAAGTTTCTACAGGGAGCTGTCAGATATAGCAGAGAGTTCAGGGAGATGTAGCTACAAGTCTCTACAGGGAGCTGTCAGATACAGCAGAGAGTTCAGGGAGATGTAGCTACAAGTCTCTACAGGGAGCTGTCAGATATAGCAGAGAGTTCAGGGAGATGTAGCTACAAGTCTCTACAGGGAGCTGTCAGATATAGCAGAGAGTTCAGGGAGATGTAGCTACAAGTCTCTACAGGGAGCTGTCAGATATAGCAGAGAGTTCAGGGAGATGTAGCTACAAGTCTCTACAGGGAGCTGTCAGATATAGCAGAGAGTTCAGGGAGATGTAGCTACAAGTCTCTACAGGGAGCTGTCAGATATAGCAGAGAGTTCAGGGAGATGTAGCTACAAGTTTCTACAGGGAGCTGTCAGATATAGCAGAGAGTTCAGGGAGATGTAGCTACAAGTCTCTACAGGGAGCTGTCAGATATAGCAGAGAGTTCAGGGAGATGTAGCTACAAGTCTCTACAGGGAGCTGTCAGATATAGCAGAGAGTTCAGGGAGATGTAGCTACAAGTCTCTACAGGGAGCTGTCAGATATAGCAGAGAGTTCAGGGAGATGTAGCTACAAGTCTCTACAGGGAGCTGTCAGATATAGCAGAGAGTTCAGGGAGATGTAGCTACAAGTCTCTACAGGGAGCTGTCAGATATAGCAGAGAGTTCAGGGAGATGTAGCTACAAGTCTCTACAGGGAGCTGTCAGATACAGCAGAGAGTTCAGGGAGATGTAGCTACAAGTCTCTACAGGGAGCTGTCAGATATAGCAGAGAGTTCAGGGAGATGTAGCTACAAGTCTCTACAGGGAGCTGTCAGATATAGCAGAGAGTTCAGGGAGATGTAGCTACAAGTCTCTACAGGGAGCTGTCAGATATAGCAGAGAGTTCAGGGAGATGTAGCTACAAGTCTCTACAGGGAGCTGTCAGATATAGCAGAGAGTTCAGGGAGATGTAGCTACAAGTCTCTACAGGGAGCTGTCAGATATAGCAGAGAGTTCAGGGAGATGTAGCTACAAGTCTCTACAGGGAGCTGTCAGATATAGCAGAGAGTTCAGGGAGATGTAGCTACAAGTCTCTACAGGGAGCTGTCAGATATAGCAGAGAGTTCAGGGAGATGTAGCTACAAGTCTCTACAGGGAGCTGTCAGATATAGCAGAGAGTTCAGGGAGATGTAGCTACAAGTCTCTACAGGGAGCTGTCAGATATAGCAGAGAGTTCAGGGAGATGTAGCTACAAGTCTCTACAGGTAGCTGTCAGATATAGCAGAGAGTTCAGGGAGATGTAGCTACAAGTCTCTACAGGGAGCTGTCAGATATAGCAGAGAGTTCAGGGAGATGTAGCTACAAGTCTCTACAGGGAGCTGTCAGATACAGCAGAGAGTTCAGGGAGATGTAGCTACAAGTCTCTACAGGGAGCTGTCAGATATAGCAGAGAGTTCAGGGAGATGTAGCTACAAGTCTCTACAGGGAGCTGTCAGATACAGCAGAGAGTTCAGGGAGATGTAGCTACAAGTCTCTACAGGGAGCTGTCAGATACAGCAGAGAGTTCAGGGAGATGTAGCTACAAGTCTCTACAGGGAGCTGTCAGATACAGCAGAGAGTTCAGGGAGATGTAGCTACAAGTCTCTACATGGAGCTGTCAGATATAGCAGAGAGTTCAGGGAGATGTAGCTACAAGTCTCTACAGGGAGCTGTCAGATATAGCAGAGAGTTCAGG